GTCAGAGAATTATTGTAGTGGGAGTGTAAGCTATTAATTTTAAAAATGTTGTGAAACTTTTTATTTGGATTTGAGATTATTATTGAAATTTTAAGAAAATGTGTAATAATAATAATGATAATAATAATATTATGTTTAAGAAATTATAAAAATATGTCAAAAGTTGAATAATATGTTTAAGAAATTATAAAAATATGTCAAAAGTTGTGTGCATAAAACATGTGTTAGCACGAATATTAAGGTGATTTGATGGGTCGACAAAGAAGATGATGTGATGGTTCGAGACACATCAGGGACAGGGTGTCAAAATTTGACCCGTCACGCCAACATGACTGAAAAAATTCGGGTTATGGTTGACGTAAATATTTTTTGAATCGTGTTCGGGTTAGCAAATTCGAACTGTTTATTATTCGGGTCGGGTTTGAGTTGAACCTGAAAACCCAAACATGACCCGAGTAAGCACAAAATATCGGTTTGGGTTCAGTTTTGGCGGGTCAATCTCGGGTTCGGGTCTTCGTTTTCAATGTGTTTATTATTTGGGTCGGTTTGGATTCTCTATTCGGGTCGGGTCATTTTCGGGTCAGATCCTAAGCTAACCCGCTAACCTAAATTGACAACCCTAGCAGAGATAGTTTAAGGGCCCACATATATCCGTTTGGCTCTAGCGGGTTGGGAGAAAAATAATTCTAAAACGAACAGAATCCGACCACCCCCCCTAAAATCTGCTAAAATAAAACTAACACAGATGAATCCGCCGACATTCTTCAATCAAGTTGGACGAAGAATGGAAACCGCCGTGATCTAAAACAGTTGGTTAGGGCTCTCGATCCACGCTTTGGCCAAAGTCGCCTGAAAAAATGACCCAGCCGGTCATTCCCTTAGGCTCCTAATGCGCGGCCACCTAGCCCAAAATCTAGCTGGGTGTCGTCCCAAGCTCTTGTCCCTATAATTATGTATTGAAAAAAAATATCCCCACTGCACGTATTCTTCTAAGGGTACACAATCGAATTTTACATTTCCTATTCCAATAAACAGGACTCATTTCATGAATAAATATTACACGATTTTATTGTTCATCACAAAGCTCTCTGCTCTTTCACGCTTTATTCCTTAGGTGTATCTCTTAGACAGTTTTGGATTCATCATTCTAAAATGTGCCATGAGTGTGGAGTCATTCCATTGACAAGAAGAGGAGCACAATGATAAAAAAGAAAATAGAGTCATCAGAGAGAAGTAGCCAATTTAGAACACACCAGAGAAGACATGGAGGAGCTAATGTAATGAGGAATGTAAGAGTTGAGGACTTAAATTATGGATCAGGTTTTGGGCTAGAACACAGAAGTTCTAAGGACAGTTGCAGCCAGAAAAAGAGATTGGGCTGCGTTGGCGCACACTGACAGAAAGTTGAATAATGGACTTGAGAGGTCTAAAGGCTCATAGTACCAAGAAAAAAACTAAATCTGCGCAAGTGGAGAGGCAGCAATTCGGGCTCACTGAGGCATCGTGTCAACTAGAGAATCCCTTTTCTCTCCATATCTCAGGAGCTGAGCCCCGAGAGAAGTTCAAACTTCCAATGTAGGAGGCGAATCATGGTCGGTCGGATCCCAATGACCACATCTCCTTGTTCGTTCGTGCCTGATGAAAGTTTGAGACACATTTAAGTTATCTGTTCTTCATATTACTGAGGTTGTTAGTCTTGAGGCGGTTCAACTCACTTCCGGATGGAAGTATCATCAACATTTCAGATTTCCAATGACTTTTCTTGACGTAGTATGCAAGCGCTTGGGTATTGAAGAAGAACATGAAGTCCTTGTGACAACAGAAATGGGGGCCAAACTAGAGTCTGTGCTCCCACTTTCTGTAATTCTAGAGATAGATGCTAGATGTGAAAGCAATTCTAATTGACAGGGCACATGTTGCCCTGAAGCAGGGCCTGAAGTTCAAGAGGTTTCATTACGACCTCAGTTTGCACAAACCCTAGGATGTTACTACATTGAAAATAATTAACACAAGTCTCCTAAGTATGGGGTTGTGTGTGTTGGAGGGAGTCTACAATGATGAAATTGGCTGATGTCATTTACTGTTTTTCTCCTTCCCCTCAGATTATGGGCAAGGTGATCATTGTGTATGTCTCATTCCTTTCACCGGAAAATCCAAAAAATGAGCAATGTGTTGGTTCCAGTTAATTGGAAACTAGGCCCATCTTATAAAAGGCACTCTTTAAGAGGAACTTAACAGAGCTACTTGTATCTACCAGGATCTGTTGATCTTGTAGTTCGATATTATCGTGGTGACTACGATAACAACATTGAAATTATTTCCACTAGTAGAAAATTCAACATTTTTAGAAGTGATAGAAGGATAGTCAGTCTTCACTCATTTGGCCAAAATGGCTGAGTGGACTTCTCCCATCCTCAACCGTTTCAAGTTAAACCTTCAAAAACTTCAGCATCTCATTGAAACATGGCCGATATGATGTAAAAAACATATACCAGTTTCGTTGTAGCGGGCCCATCACTAGCATCTTTGACAGGCACCTTCTCCTGTCATCTTTTGTTGGCTTCTAGAGCCACAAATTCTTTCAACTTCCTCGCTTTTATCAATTACCCAATCAAATTGTGAAGATTTAAACACTACTCGTTATCATAACTATGATCCCTATGGCACACACAATACATATTAGGATTGCGTGCGTAACCACCTACTTTCACCAGGAATGATTTCTTAAAGAAGTCTTTATTTTTTATGCCATTGACAATTTCAGCCATCAACACTATTAAATGTGTACCTTTGATCAAAGGGAACTGAGCTGGTTTTATTTTCGTCGTGACTTCTTCCTACTAGTCCTCTATCAATAACTTCTCACAGTTATTGCCCAAAGTACTTTTTCAAAAGCGTTTTAGAAGTTCTTCCTATCAAAACAATTCCTTGGGTTTCCATAATCTTAGCAGGGCTGATTGTAAAACTCTCTTTGAACTCCAACAACATGGAGGAGCTAGGTTAGTAATTGTATTCTTCAGTGGAGATGTGATTATTTACAAACTCAAAGAACTCTACTAAGGTTCCAAGATTCCATAAGTAGAGTGTATATTTGAATGAACCTTCATGCAGGACTTGAGTTAGGGTTGTGTGAGAGAAAGTAGGTTCCAGATTCTAAACATATATCATCTCATGATGAAAGAGAGTGATGTATATTTTGAGGTTTTTTTAAGGCTTCTTATGGATTTTTAAAAGAACTTGAGAGTTTTTCAACATTTTTCCATGCGAGCAAATTGATCCACAAATAACCGCTTGAACTCTTCTAAGGAAGTGATGACTTATGCAAGTAAGTTGTTGAACTAGCGCAAAATTAATTCTATCAACATCATGAAAATACATAATATTTAGAGCAACATTTATCCTTAACAAACATACAATTGACTCAAAAGAAGCTATATGGTCAGTACGATCTAAGTTATGACTTCCCTTTATAAGATTTCAAAGAGAAAATCTTGAACTTCTCTGATGTTTTGACTTCTGTAATCTTTCATGAGTGTGTTGTCCAATGATCTTTGCCTCCTTCTTCTTCTTCTTCTAGCTCCTTCATATAAGGATTCATAAGGTTCTCTTCTGGAACATAAAATTTGTCCCTCTTGTTTTCGTAATCCATGCTCAGAACAAGAGCCCGTCTAGTCCTTGTTCTTGGTAAGTTTCATCAACTAACCATCGAGCTCGACAATCCTGCATGTATACTTGGAAGTGCTTAGGAACGAGATCAAGATGATTCTTCTCTTGTTTAGTTTACGATGTTCGATATTGTTACCTTAACTCATTGATTAGCTATGTCATAAACTCTCTAGTGCAATACATCATATGCATTCATTCTTCTTTACCCTATAAGATCCTTTTGTAGGGTTTACACATGAACTTCATGCTCATCATAACTTTAATGATGTGAATCCTTTTAAGACGTAGAGCTCATACAACCCGGGAAAGATCCTTCTTTAGGAAGAAAGTGTGGAAGAAGATGATGAATAGGTTGCTAGAACTTGAATTCTTCTTTTCTTCCTTGAATCCCCTCAGGAGGAATAAATGGTTTAGGATTTATCATTCCCCCTACATAAGGGAAGAAACAAAATTGTAAAATTAGGTCCCGTATAGTACTATGCATGTCCATGATGCCTACCATAAATTCAGATAGGCTTATCTACTCTAATGCAATGATTGCATTTTTCAGTAACAGATTTGCCCCAGGCTAGCTTGACTACTTCGACGAGTAGGCTCAACTTGAGAATATCGATGTATAAATCTTGCTTGAGTTCATGACCATATTTTGGCATACAATAATATATATATTTATATATTATTGCTATTATTATTATTATTATTCATTGAAATGAGATTACAGAGTGTTAGTACCCCCATACCCTTTTAAAAGGGCCAATACATCATCATTTTCTAAGCACCACATATTTTTTTATTATAATTAAAAGCCATAATATTATAGTATAATACATGTAAAATGATCAATCAGTTAGATACAATTTTTTTATGGAAGACATCTGCTCAGTTTCTATGTATTTATATAGTATTAAATTTTAGTTTTTACATACATACCACCATTTTTATGCATAAAAAAAATTCCAATGCTTAAAAAATGTATTTTATTTTATTTAAATAAATTGTGATATTTTTGATGTAATATAAAAAAATTTGTGGGGTATAAATATAAAAATAAAATTTAGGGGTCACATAACAATTTGGTTGTTTGTATGTCCATTTTCATATTAAAAAAATGAAAAAATATAAAACTTGAAATAAATTTTGTATTGGTTAAATATACTACAAGTAAATATAATATATGAAAAGATGATTAACTTTTAGCTTAAATAAATTCAGTAATATATATATATAACTATATATATATATATATATAACTGAAAAAATAAAAAATCTTCTTTGACTCGCTCAACGGCGAAAGCTTCTGTTGAATGGTTAATCGACCGAGTGCCGACCGCGTGAGGGTTTTTTACGACGTGAAGCGTGCGTATAAAAACTGCTCTGCCGCCCCCTTTTCTGCGAAGCATCGGACTCTCGGAGAAATCCGCCGGAGAATTTCTCCGATCCTTCCACTTTCCCTCCCTCTCACTCCGCTTCGAATTCTAGGGTTTTAGTTGCAAGTGATAGGTGGATCGGTGTTTGAGATCGATAATGCCGGCTATGGATTACCAGGGCTCGTCGTTCGGCCGATCCCTGCTTAGCTTACGACGGGAGCAGTTCGATGCCCAAGTTGATCCTGGATCGAGCCGGGAGCAGGAGCTTGACAGCTTCCAGCGCCTTGTTGCCGACCTTTTCTCGGATCTCGCTTCCGATGGTGAGGAGCTTCTCTCTCTTGTTTGGATCCGGAAGCTATTAGAAGCTTTCCTCCTTAGCCATGAGGAATTCCGTGTCATTCTCTTGAACAGTGGCCCGATCCTGGCCCGCGCTCCCTTGGAGCGCCTCATGTCCGACTTCTACGAGCGCAGCGTGAAAGCTCTCGATATCTGCAACGCCATCCGCGATGGAATCGAGCAGATTCGGCAGTGGCAGAAGCACATCGAGATCGTGCTCATTGCCCTAGATCCACGTCATAATCCCATCGGTGAGGGACAGCTGCGTCGTGCCAAGAAAGCGCTTACCGATCTCGCCATTCTTATGCTCGATGTGAAGGATTCCGCCTCTGTTCTTGCGCAGCGAAACAGGTCATTTGGCCGCAATAACACGAGCTCGAGCAAGGATCGCGGCCACTTTCGATCCCTTTCGTGGAGCGTTTCTCGATCGTGGTCGGCGGCCAAGCAGCTCCAGGCTATTGGAAACAACATCAATGCTCCCCGTGGAAATGATGTTGTGGCGACTAATGGGGTTGTTAATCCGATCTTCACAATGAATACAATGCTACATTTCGTGATGTGGGCTTTGGTTGCTGCAATTCCTTGCCAGGACCGTGGCGTTCAGACTCATTTCTCTATCCCTCGAAACTTCACTTGGGGACCTTCCGTTCAGCTGCTCCATGACAGGATAATGGAGGAATCGAAGAAGAAAGAGAGGAAGAACTCTCTTGGACTCTTGAAAGAGATTCATCAGATAGAGAAGTGTATCAGAAACTTGTTGGAGCTGATGGATTCTGTTCAGTTTCCATTGACAGAGGAGAAGGAGGTGGAGTTGAGACAGGGAGTGCTTGTGTTGGCAGGCGTCCATCATGCCATGAAGGAGGAATTGGAACCATTGGAGCCCCAAGTGAGGGAAGTTTTCCATAGGATCGTGAGAAGTCGGACAGAGGGACTTGATTGCTTGCACAAGCAAGATTGATTTTCTCTTTTGTTATTCAATGGTGTCTGTTAGCAGCATGGAATGTTGCCACAGTTTAATGCCACCTTCCTTGCAATTAATTTGCATATAGTGGATGCCAAAGGAGATAAAAGTGAGAAGTGGCATACAAATGACATGTATCTATTGCTAAGACGTTTTGGCAGGTACTTTGCTTATGGCAGGTACTTTTCTTATGTTCGATAATAATACTTAAGTCTGAACAAGAATTTGGTTCTTAGTGATGTTGATTATTTTTTGGTTATTTTTTATTTTGGTTTCCTATATTTTTCCCCCTTAAAATTCTTAAAATGTTAAATCCACTCTGAACATTATTTGTGGAAAGAAAATTGAACTTTCCTTTACTTATTATGAACCTTTTGTTCTATTCTTGGCTTGGGTGAAAGAAAATAAGGAAAGTCGAATTGAAAGGGCTAATCTTCCTGTCTTCAATTCTCGGAAAATCTGACTCTAATAGAGAAAATCAAAACTATTTTATACATATTTCCCTTGAGAGTTATAAAATAAAAAAAAATACGGCACAACACAGCTTGATATCCTCTTAAAAGCAAATCGATAAAGTAAAAAAAAAATTAGAAATTAAGCAATCACATCGATGCTTACTTTAAAATCTATCTTTGAGCATCAAACAAAATGAGAAATTTATCTGAATGGCAAAAAACAATCCTAGTAAAACTTTATATCAACTGAGAGCTATTGAGTATGATAGAATTATGGAGCATTTTGTTCTTGGCTCCCCCCCCTAGATTCGATAAAAATCCTAAAGTTATGCATAATATGAAAAAAAATATCCTTAAATTTTTTTTTAATTATATATATTATATAAATTTACACTTTCAAATTGGGGTACACTCTTCCATCTCTTTTACTCAATTTTCTAATATCGTCATTGGTTACAGACGAGAACTCTTACAAATCCAGGCTTTTTTTCATGCTCCAACACATGGGATATAGAGGAACATCAAAAGTATTGTTAGGGAAAACATCGAAGGAGCAATGTGATTCCCATATCCAAAGAAGCATCATTACCATCACCTTTTGTGCTATACTAGAAAGTAAAAGAGCCAAAGTAATAAAGATTCCCATATCTTTTTTCTCAGAGGAAGAAGTGATACCAATGGAAGGCAATTTCTATTGAGAATCCAAAAAGTATCTAAGAAAAATGAATTAATATCAATTAAGTAATGCACATATGATCATCTTCATAAGGGGTTTATTCTTTAAGTAGTTCTTGAGATGAGATTCATAAAGAAGACATCTAATCGATGGCTTGAAGACCACACCCTACACTAATTTTTGTGCCATAATTTGGTTATCCGACACTTCACCTTTAATCTCTTGATTTATCAAATTTCCAACTTATTTTTTGTCTTCTCAATGATAATTAGGTTCTCAAGTGACTTCTTTATAAATCTCTTTAGAAATAAAAAGTTAAGCCTAGGCTCCTAAGTAATCTCTTGATCTTCTTCGCCCCCTAGCTGACAATTGTTCTTTAACCTTTTTTATCCTTAGCTTTCTACACTAATACTGTAGTCAAGGGTTTTACCTACGCACTCAATCTAATACTCGAGAATCCACATACCCTTTAGAAATAGTACCACCTTTGCTCCCGTTCCCAAGTTTGAAAGCATCTTCTCCAACTCCTTGTGTTGACCTTTAACTCAAACACTTCAAAGTTCTCAATATATAGGGTGGTAGAGAACTTCCATCGTTTGCTTGATTGCACAAAAGAAATTTCATTTCTTTTAATCCTTATTTGAAGACATAAACCTAGCTATGCTTAGATGCAGCTTATACTTCGTTAGGAAATAATAGATTCCCTTTAGGCCTTGAACTTTCAATAAGCAAGGAAATTGTTGTGTCGACCTTTATTGTTATACTTCCTAGAATTCATTCTCATAATATGATGTGTGATTTGGAGGCAAGTCACGCCAATATGTGATTGAAATTCCTCAGAATGTTGTTCATTATCTTGTTAAAGGGAATCTCATCTCCATTGTAGACTTGAGACATTTTGGCCAGGCCAAAAATGTTGCAACCTAGAATTTTCTAAAAAAGATAGACCTCTTTGACTCCATATGTTTGATTCAGTTTGACACTTTGAAGGAAATCTGAACTCATGTTTAACAAAAATTCTATTTTTTGAAGACTTTGTAGTCACCTCAAGTCATTAGTGAAGGTGGCAATGTTTCTTGCTAAATCATCATTGTGGTTGATATTATTCAAAGAAACACCAGAAGTTTTTATTGTAGATCTATAGAAGAGTCTCATAAACATAATAAGAAGGAATTTCACATAAAGACTGAGGAGTTAGAACCTTATTGATATGCATGAGCCATAAAATCTTAGAGAATGGGCAGGAATTTTAAAAGACCAAACAAATCCTATTTAATGCATCTTCATTCCATCATTATTATGAAAATTTCAACAAATCCTTGACAAATCGTGACCGTTTATCATCCACTAAGATGCTTATCTTTAATAAATATTATATATTTTTAAATTAACATTTTATAATATTATTTGCAAATATGTTCTTTCTTTTATATAAATCATTAGTTTCCTCTCCAGATTTCATAATTCGTATTGTGAAGGACCATCTTTCTATTCCAAGGGCTGTACCTTCTACAATCAACCGTGAAATCCTTCATAGGAGTCTATCTTCTATGTCCAATAAATCACATAAGGTTTCGTAAGAAAAACCATTTTAACTCTTCAAATAAGTTAAAATACCTATTTACACAAGTAAATATTTAGTTGCAAACACTCTTTACTAATAATTAAAATGTAATACTTCCATTATTTTCTACTAATCATATTTTAAATTAATTATAGAGTTTTATAAAGCAACCTCCCATAGGTCATGTCGTCCTCCTCTATTTATTCTTATGCTGGTTCAAACACTCTAAAGGATCTCTTTCTTCAGCAACCTCCCCTAGGTCATGTCGTCCTCCTCTATTTATTCTTCATGCTGGTTCAAACACTCTAAAGGATCTCTTTCTTCTCCTTCAACCGATTATCCAACATCCTCGATCCCATCTTGAAAACTCCTAAAAGCCTCAACATGCTATGCCTCGCCCACAACAAATTGATATCATCGATCATCTTCAAGCAAAATGCCAGAACATTAGCATCCATCAACACATTAGAACATAGATACTTGGACTATCTGGTTATATAATCATACAAATTCCTAGCTCCATGGATTTCACCTGTAGCTTGCTCATGTGGTCGGACTGCTTAAGTTCTGTTGATCATAATTTTTTCTGAATTTGCATTATCCTATAGTTATGCTTGTTGATGATGCAGTCCTTAATCTTATTGATTGTTCGAGTGATTATTCAAATTATCATTGATAGTGATGGCATTCTTCTTTGTAAAATCAAAATTCTCTTGGCATTTCTTCATTACCATCAACTAGCCTTAAAGAGCTTGCACCTTTTTGTTTATATTATTTGCAATCATAAAGGTCATTAATGCGAAGGTAGAAGAAGTTCATGGCATCGCTTCCAATTTCGTTATGATGACCAGAACCTATTTTAAAATGTCAAGGAGATCTCTTACATTGGATGGGTTTTGGCTGTCATCTTCTACAACCCCGCCATTTTCTTCAGAGCTCGGATTCACTCATTCCGTGCACTCAAAACATTAGTGATGTAGGCAGAGGGGAAGAATCTTTACTATGTCCTCAATTGTAGCTTCTTTCTTGATTTCATCCTCCTCCAGAAAAAGTTCAGCGCAGCATATCTATAAATCCTCACTTTTCATAACAACCTCCTTAAAAGCTTTCTCAATGCTGCTAGTAATAGTCTTAGTAGCTTTTGTCCATGCGATTAATATATAGTTTCTCAGGAGCACTCTCATACCTCATTTCTCAAGAATACATGTAGGGAACATTTTATCTTGGGGAAAAGCTTGGCTCTCTCTAGGAATGTATCATTGCCTTCAAGTCTGTACCTTCTCTAAGAACATTAAATGCTACTATCACTGAACCCCACGTCTTACCATTGAATCTGTGAATATTTATAGCGGCGTATGAGAATCATATCATTTTAACAGTTAATATTCTTAATTAAATGCACTTCTCCCAGGATTCAAACTCTGGTTTTGAAGCTCTATCATGCTTCATGACAGGTCCAACTATATCATAGGTTGGCTTCCACCTAAGGACATCTACATCTCTGTGTACCTTGATCTATTGTAAACTCTAATCCCTTATTCTTTCCATGCATCCTTATTTAAGGCAACCAGAGTCGTTAAAAAGCATCAACTCAATCTCCTTAAATAATCATTCATCAATTCATTTAAGAGCCTTGGTTGATGTCTTAGTGAAGGCTTTCATAGGGTAATTCAATGTAGAAGATCTAGCTCATCCTAATTTTGATTCAAAGTTCTTTCTTTATTTACCCCTTAATGTAATCCTCTTTTATTTAAAATTATTCCTCATATACTTTCTTTCATGCATTGCTCTAAGTTATTCTCTGGAAGGCGTACCTACACGTTTTTAAGGCTTTCCACTACTTTTTTTTACCCCTCTTAAGATAGCAAATAATCTTTCAGGCATACTGAATGTAGTTCCTTTGATCTAACCACTCTAAACATTTTAAATCACCTTTTATGTTAAGGAAAGAGATATGAGTGATCTGGAAGTTAGCTATGCTGGGTAGGGTTTTCACATTGGAGATAAAATTAGCAAAGGTGATATCATTCTTATAACAGTTGGCCTTAAGCACTTTAAAGTTATGAGAAGGAAAGAGAATACTTCAGGGAAGCCACGATAGCTTTTTTAAAAATAGGAACATTCACAAAAATGAGATCAGAAATGAAAATGTTACATTCATAATAGGATGAAAGAGCTGGTTATGACAAAAATCATTCAAAGTAGAAGACGATTTCTCCATGAAAAAAGTGAAAATGAAGGAAGAGAGAAGTATCCTTGTCTTAGACCGCCGTGGATAAACTAAAATAGCCCTAAGAGCTCTCATTAATAACAACATAATTAAGTATAAATAGAACCATCAGTCCATTTTAAAAAAATCTTAGGGTTAGCTTTGTGTATAATTAAGGCTATCAATGGACTATACAGTATCAATTCGAACATTAAAGTGCTATAGGGAATTATAATAGAAACATTTGAGGGTTTACCCAACAAGAATGTTATTGCTAGAGACCAGTCTGAGATCCTTGTCTTAGACCACCGTGGATGAACTAAAATAGCCCTATGAGCTCTCATTAATAACAACGTAATTAAGTATAAATAGAACCATCAGTCCATATTAAAAAAATCTTAGGGTTAGCTTTGTGTATAATTAAGGCTATAAATGGACTATACAGTATCAATTCGAACATTAATGTGCTATAGGGAAGTATAATAGAAACATTTGAGGGTTTCCCCAACAAGAATGTTATTGCTAGAGACCAGTCTGAGTTGAATGGATAATGAGAGGTAGTAGGTTTCATTAACCCCCAACTTAGAAATTAATTTTTGGAAGATTTACATATGAATTTATATATCTAACACGTAAACTTCAATTTTTTCATACATACCAGACCACCTTACCCATGCATGAAAAGATGTATTTCATTTTTTATAAGTTAAAATGATATATTTTTTATGTGATATGAAAGTTTTGGGTAGTATAAATGTAAAAAAAACAAAGTTTAGGTGTTAGATATGTAAATGCATTACAAAGAATTAGGTGTTATGTATGTAAATGCATTAAAAAGACAAATTGGCTTGTACTCAGATATAATCGCTGTGCATTTCAAAATTCCATTAAAGAGCTTAGAATAAAAGTGTTTAGATCATTTGAATACAAACAACAAAAGCTTGGCCAAAATCGTAAATTACTTCTCTAGTCATTTGAATACAAACAACACCACAAAAGCTTGGCCAAAATCGTAAATTACTTCTCTAATTTATAGACAAATCTCTAAAAGAATTTCCAAATACCAATAACTGCTTTAGCTAAAACCTCCAATAATAACTTCTCTTACAACAATTTTATAATTGTCTAAATAACTAGATAACCTCTTATAACTACTGTTTATTATGTATCAAGTATTGTCCACGATGTTAAAATAGTTCTAACAATCATAGAATAACAGGTGCAGTAGTTTAAAAGTTATGATTCTTGTATGAATGACTGATGCTACTTGAAGATTTAAATAATAAATGAAACCATAATAAGAGTTTTTTGATGAGTTGAAATTTGGAAAATTGCCAATTTTCTGTGTAAAAAACCAATTGGTAACCTTACAGCAGTATGTAAAAATAACTCATAAAACAACTCTTGAATATTATAAATTATTGTCAATCTGTGTCATACTAAACTAACCAGACACTGCTATACTTACTTTCTGTGAACTAAAATAATGAGAATAGTTCTCTAAGGTAAGCGTAGAGAATTAATATGAAATAATCTAAGAAATGAATGATATCATACTTGTTATCATTTCTTTTAGAGCATCCTCTACTTCAGTGGTAATCAAAGTGCTCCTCTCAAGCTCTGGAAAGCTTTATGGATGTCTTAAAACAAGCATATGAAGGCCTTTTTGTTCATTAAATTGGGCATATTATTGCGGCGCTTCAATCACCATTGCGGTAACTTGAACTACTTTGAAATTCTCATAAAGAAATAGGAGGCGTTCAAGTTCAAATCTGTATTAGCAGCTGAAAGTGAAAAATAAATAAAATGTCATTTTGAGAATTATTCAACATGAGATGATAAATAAGGAATAAATTACTATTATTATTAAGAAGAATTCAAGCCTTAAACCTTCGCTTTAAAAAACGAGCTAATTCTACTCCAAGTAGTAGCTGAGAATAGCTGCAAAGCCACCTATTGTTCAAATTATAAATTATCTAAATACTTTTAGCCTTTTGCTTACTAACTTAAGGCAGTATTACTACCCTACATTTATTCCATTAAGCATCGATGAAACTATGTTATGTTCAGTGTGGGTAATGACCCCCGATAGAATTTGAGATTTCTCTATATATAAATTGTAAAATTTAATATTTTTTCTTATATAGTTTAGGTTATTTAGTTTTTTTTTTTACTTAAAAAAATTAGACATTTGACAATCTTATCATTTTGCCCATCATAAAAAATAATGTTGGTTCCGCCCCTGTCATTAAGGTTGATACAGGGAATGAAAAAGGGAAGAAGCGAGAAAAAAAATTGGCTTGATGATCGGTCAATGATTATTAGCCCAACTTTATCATAATAAAAGAAGGAATCAATCAATAAAGAAACAAAGATTATGAATTGTTTTTATTTCCCTACCTAAGCATTCTGCTTCATAAATCCAACCTCAAATAGTTTAAGGCCTCATACAGTTTTAAGGTATTTTTCATATATATTTTTATTTTTTTAAATACATCAACTTGTTTTTAAAATCACTAAAAATAAATTTTCAATTTTTGAATGTATTTAAAAAACCTCTAAGCATGTTTTTAATATATATATATATATATAAAAGAAAAACAAAAGTGATCCCAAATGGCCTACAAACTGATATAAACTGTGATAAAGTGCTCAAACAAAATCGTTTTAAAATTAATTAGCAAATTTGCATGAAGAACACGGGTAAGGACTACTGAACTATCCTAGCTTGGTACGCAGAAACACAGAGTAGCTCAGGCCATGAAGACAATCATTACTGAACTATCCAGGCTTTAATCATCCCCTTTTTCCATCCTCTTCCTCAACTTTTCAACATCAACTATTAAACAATTGGAGATACTCAATAATGTCACATTGTCATCCATCCAAAACAATGCATTTACATATCTAACCCCTAATTCATTACCACTTTTATGGATATATGAAATAATAAATTAACTCTCTATTAAAAAAAAATCAAACCAAAGAAGCTTACAATGATAACTCAGTGTGAATTTACTTTCGTCCATTCGTTGTATTCATCCATTCTTATAATAAAGGAGCTCGAACCGGGTTTTCCTCCACCTCCAAAGGCCTTCCAGTTGAACAAAATCATTCATGGTTATCATTGGTCTGCACAGATGAGAGGAAGAAAGCAGATTGGACAAACCTTAGCTATTTCTGAGGTATCGGTGGAGCTGTCATTAGTCCTTAAACACATTTTCAGGTTCCCACGCTGCATGAATATAACCGCTCCGATAGGCCTGCACATGAAAAATATAAGTTATTTTTATTTGTTTATGTTTTGATTTAAAATAAAACATATTTGGTATGATTGGTTTGGATATATATGTTTGTCTTTGAAAATACTCTATAAAAGAGAAATTTGCATATGTATATGTATATATATAAAATCTGTTAAGATTGCATGCCTTAAACCAGCTGCAGCACTCCTGCTACCAAGTTCCATCGCAATTTCATGGCTTAACTCTGCATTTCCATCAGCCCTGATTGCCTATCAAAACAAGTAATCAAGAGAAAAATGCATTAATTCTCAGAAGACAATAATAAAATAACCTCTAAAGCATCAGGAAGCAGCAGATAGGTAGAAGTTTGTAACAAGATGGTAGTACAGACCAAGGATTATAACACTTGCTAGACAATGCCAGTTTAATCCAAAATACAAAAAAGAAGAGGATGAAAGAAAGGAAGATTTACATCCATACCACTAAATTCCTGTTTATTTACATATCTAACACATATACTTCAATTTATATATATATGTCATCTGATCTATGCATGTAAAAGTGTGTTCCACTAATGTAGTATAAAAAAAATAGGTGGCATAAATGTAAAAAATGAAAGTTTAGGTGTTACATATGTAAATACATAGGAGTTGCGTGGTATACATGTCAATACATTAATTGAAGTTTACAATGGGAATACCAGGCACTCTCCATACAATCCTCTTCCAAGCCTAATCTTAAATGGTCTAGCCAATAAATTATTTGCAGCATCCAGGCGTGTAGTAATATAAGAATTTCCCTTAGCTATGAGGTCATCAGCATCAAGCTCCAGAAGCTGCAGTGCACCATATTGTCTTCAGCAAACTCTTTCAAAAAAGCTGAAGAATCTGGGGCGAACAAACCTGTTTAAATACGTGAGGGTTAGTCAAAGTGTTTAGCTTTGTACGGGTTTCTCTGATTCCAATTCCAAATTCTTTGATGCCTGCTAGTTCCCAGCGACGAAGATCGGCGTCCTCCATATAACTAATCATTTTCTCGACACGAGCTTGTTCTTCAAGCTTCAACAATGATTCATGGCCCTACTATCGCAAGAAATCAAAGAAACTTCTAGATCTGATACGTGATGGAGCTATTGGATGCCCCCAAGCTAAATCACAGATAGTAATCAGATTTCAGAGAAAGAAATCAATATACGAACCCTTATCGACGATTTATCTTCAGAGAATTTTTCAGAAAAATAATGTAAAGATGCCCTGGCGCTGTTCTTTCTGGTATCAATTCGCAGCTCCAAGTTACTGGGGTGGTTCGCCATATTAGCAATCCTTGATAATGTACACAGTCGATGATCAAAGGCTATCACCCTGAAATGAAAAAGTTTATGGCAGAGGAAAGAATTCTAGAGAAAGTTTGGCGGGATTTGTTGGTAGCTAGTCAGTACCTTGGAATAATCTTTGCGAGCTCTCCAGCAAAATTCTTAGGCCCGATGAAATCGAGCATATAACAAGTTTGAATGCCAATAAACCTAAAATCCGCTACCCTACCGTCCAAAACGAGAGAGAGAGAGAGAGAGAGAGAGAGAGAGAGAGAGTCATATATTTCGATCAGAAGAAGATTCCAACAAAGGGAGGAAGAGGAAAAATGGGCAGGTGGAAGCACCTGAGGGGCTCAACGGAGGAGAAGGGGAGAACTAGGCAGGAAAGATTGAGGGCGGAGTGGTAGAGATGGGCGAAAAGTGCCGCAAAGGCTCCAGCCAAAGAGGGATAGTTGTATAACACGAGCCTTGGCTTCTCCTGTCCTCTTTCTTCTGCGTCGATGTGAGCTTCGAGAGCCTGCAGAGCAGCTGGCGATCGGAATCCTTGCCGGATCGGCAACAGCAATGTCAGGCTTGCGGCGCTCGCTGCCGCGTTGCTCCCCTTTAAATTGAAGCCCGAAGTGAGGCGAAGCATCGCTACCCGACTACTGAACCGGTTCTCCTGGTTTGCTCGCCCTATTTAATAGTTCTAATTGGATTTTTTTCCGCTTGATAAAATGGAAAACGAGGACCATAATGGAAAAGACGAAGGCGGAGCCCGATAATAGAGTGGAAGGAGGAATGGGGAAAGCCGGGCGGCGGCCATGGCACCGGCAATGGATATGGCGCTGCTTACTTAACTCTTTCACCTTTGTGGTTTTGTCCATTTCGGCTCCCGAGGCTTCTGAATCATCGCCGGAAACTTCTAGGGCTTTTATTTCGTGATCAAACGGCGAAGGTGGATTCTCTTCTTGCTGTGGAGATTCAAAGATTTTTTGTGGTACCTCTTGGGTAGGCCTTTCTATTTCTATTTTCGCTATATGTAACGCTGGTTGTTCTTTGGTTTTTCCTCCTTGCTCTGATTCGGCTTCTTCGAATTCTGGCATTTGGCGCGATACCGTTTCTTCTTTCTCGGGTTTTTGGATATCGCTATAGGTATGCAATTCCTTTTGAATCAATGCAGGGAACTCGCGTTTTATCGCTTCATCATAGGGAGATGGTTGGAGCGGCGATCCTTCTGGCTCCACTGCTCCTCTTATCCTGGGTGGAGATGTAGTAGGTTCTGTTGCTTTTTTCTTCATGGTTAGTTGGTGTGGTGATCTGTCAGTCTTCATCATCACCCTTATAATGGGCAGCGGTTTTGGTTGCTCCGCTGCAGTATCATCATGTTCTAGTACTTTTCTGTCATCGTGCGTACTAGGAAAAGGCCGAGGTTTCAGTAATGTTGGCGATTCTATATCTCGTGCAAGTTCCCCCTCTTCATATCGGTATAATTCTTGTTCCATCAAAGCAGTGGTACGTTCTGCGCTATCAGGTGGTTCTAGTATCGCCCCATTGCGTGCTAGTTCCTGCATAGGACTTTCTCTTTTATGCGCTTCTTCCTCATCCGGTTGATTAAGTTGTTCCGGTTTCTGTTTAGATACTTCCTCCATAAAATGTCGAATCCTTGGTCCTTCGAGCTGTTTTTTCTGCTTACTTTCGAGCGGCTGTAAAAGTGGCATCGAAGAATCAGTAGCTTGCGGAACATTTTGTGATTCTCGTTCTGATGGTCTTACTGCTAGCTTGTCAGGTAGCTGAGCCCCCACAGCAGGACGCAATGTCTCTTGTGCTTCTATTTCATTGGGCAGTTTGAGTTGCAGTTCTGCTTCTACATGCAAAGTCTCTTTAGTCATCTTATAAGGTTCCTGTGATTCTAGCACCCCTTTGATTTCCAGCGTTTTTGCATTTGGGATCTTTTCTATCTCCGCTTCTGAGTCGAGCAATATGGTTTCTTCCTGTTTTATTGGCTTTCTATTAAGCTGCCCTCTTTGCTGTCCTTCTTTCTCGATTGTCTTCCATGGCTTAGCTCTCTTGTGCACCGATACTTCTTCTTCTTGCAATTCTTGCTCTTCTGATACTTTGTACGGTGGCTGTTCTGCAGGTTTTTGTTGTTTGGATTCGTGACTGGGTTCTGGATGACGTGTTTTAAACACAGCTTGAGGTGTTGGCGCCTCTTTTTCCTCTAGTTGAATGCGTTTTTGCTTTGGCATCACTGATTCCTCTATCTCTTTCACAGCTTGAGGTGTTTGAGCCGCGTTCTCAGGTTTTATTACCTTTGGAAACTGTTCAGGCGACTTTAATTGTTGAATTTCTTCATCAGCTAACTGTGGAATTTCCATTTCTTTTTCATCATTGTAGGTTGGCATTACACTTTGTAATTCTTTTAGTCGTTCTGTCCGTTCTTTACTTTGATGTGGCTCATGGCTCTTGGTTTTATCTTCTTCTTTCTGTTTTGCTTGGAGCTCATGCTCTTTCTCTTTTAGTGATCTAGACTCTTTTATTTTGTTTGCTACAAGCTTCTCAAATTCTTTTGATTCTTTTTGTTGATATCTTTGTTGTCTTTCTGGAGTCTCTTTGGTATCTGGTTTCTTAGGAGTTGTGCGTTCTTGTTCTTGTGGTGCTTTGAATTCTGTCCTGTCAAGAGTTTGATAGGGGGCCTCCACTGTAGGTTTCTGATGTTCTTTGGATTCTACATGTGGTATCGAAGATTCAGTAACTTTGTTAGCTTCTTTAGTTTGTGACTCTGGTTTTGATGTTTCTATTGCTTGTTTGTCAGGTAGCTCAGCCCCCAAAGAAGGACACACCCGCTCCTCTGCTTCTACTTTCTGGGCCGGTTTGGGTTGCATTTTTGATTCTACAGACAAAGACTTTTCAGGTTTCTTATAAGGTTCCTGCAATTCTGGCATCCATTCGATTTCCAGCATCTTTGCAATTGCAATCTCATCTTTATCTTCTTCTGACACCAACAATGGAGTTGCTTCCTGATTCGTTGGCTTTTTACTAAGCTGCGCTCTTTGTTCTTCTTTCTCCTTTGTCTTTCCAGGCTCAAGTTTCCTGTGCACCGGTGATACTTTATCTTGTGATTCTAGCTTTTCTAGTCCCATCAACTTTGTAGTTTTTGATGCTAGATAGGATGAATCCTCTGCAGGTTTCTGGTGTTTGGATTCTTGATTTTGTTCTGAGCGTTGTTTTTCTTTCATTGCTTTCGTTTCTGGTTTCTTGAAAATAGAGAAATCTTGAGCGGTTTGCATCTCATCTTCCTCTGGTTGTAAGAGTTTTTGCTTTGGTATTATTGATTCTTTTATCTTTATCACTAACTTGTGTTTCTGAACTTCTTTTTCAGGTTTTATTTGCTCTAGAAACTTTTCTGGTGACTTCAAGATGATGTCACGTTTGAAACTTTCTTCATCACCTAACTCTTGAATTTCTTTTTCTATTTCTTGATTGTAAGTTGGCATTACATTCTGTGTTTCTCTCTGTCTTTCTTTGCTTTGATGTGGATCAGAGTTCTTGGATTTATATTCTCTCTTTTGAGATTGAAATTCCTGCTCTTGTTCCTCAAGTGATCTAAACTCTTTTATTTTTGGAGCTTTAAATGGTAGCCCTGCAATAGGTTTCTCTGATTTCACTGATTCTTTTTTCTGATATCCTTCTTGTCCTTTTGAAATCCCGTTGGTTTTTGGTGCTTTAGCAGTTGATAGCGCTGGTTCTTCTAGTGCTTTGAACTCTATCATATCAGAAGTCTGATGGAGTGTCTCCACTGTAGGATTATGATGTTCTTTGGATTTTATTTGTTCTAGCATTGGTGTTAATTCTTTCTGTAAAGTGGTTGACTCCTTAGGTAGGGGTTCCTCTTGTTTTCCCGGTTCCGGTGATTCCGGAATAATCTCATCATGACTTTTTCTAGTGATCTGAAATTCTTGCTCAACTTCTTCATGAGTTGTCACTATTTCCATCTTTCCCTTTTGTACCTCTACTTCTTCTGGTTGGTCTAGCTCTTCTTCTACTTCTTTTTCTTCTGATTGCTTTGGTTCTATAGCCTCTACAAGTCTTTTACTTTCTCTCATTGTCGGCTTCTGAGCTTCTTTTTTCATTATTTCCTGTTCTTTCTGGAGAAGTTGTGATTCTTCCTCTAGTATAAGCAACTTTTTGGTTGCAGATGTTTTTACATCAGGTCCCTTCCGTTGGTGATTTTTATCTTCCTGAAATTCTTCCTTTCTCGAATACTCAGCAGCTTTGGACTTTACACATGCTGGCACTATTGCTAGCTTTTCTTTTTCCTGCAATTCTTCCTTGCTCCGTTGAAATTCTTTCACCAGCTGTTCTGGTTGAGAATGTTCTTCATCTTCCAGCCCTTGATCTGGTGTTGTGACTGGAGGCTTCTCACATGTTGGCGCTATTATAGGATTCTCATGTACCTGAACTTCTTGCTTATGTTGTTTTAATCCAGCAGCATCGGGCTTCTCATATGTTGGCACTACTATGAACTCGTCTTGCTTCTTCACTCCATCATCATGTTGTTGTAAGTCTTCCTTTATATCTTCTGATTGAATCAGCCCTGCATCTAGTGTTTGATCAGGTTCTTTGACTCCAACTTTCTCATTTGGTTCTGAAGATTTCTTAGCACTTACTTTCTCACGTGGTGGTTGTATTATAGTCTTGTTTTCTAGCTCCTGCTCTTCTGGTTGCTCTACATCTTTTTTAGGTGCTTCAAATTTTCTTGATTCTGCAACTTCAGATAGTTTATGCGCTATCCCAGTTGGTTTCTTAGCCTTTTCTTTCATGTATTCCTCTTCCTTCTGGAAAGATTTATATTTTTCCTCTAAATCTAGGGGCATTCTTGTTTTCGATACCTCTTTGACATGACCCATCCATTGGTGATCTTCATCTTCATGGAGTTTATGAGCCTTTGTTTTCGGTTCTTCCTTATGTGGCAACTCAACAGCTTTGGGCATTTCACACGCTGGCACTTCTATAGGCTTCTCATCTTCCTGTACTTCGTGTTCATATTGTTTGAAGTCTTTGTCTGGTTCTTTCGGTACTTGAACTTTTCTGGTTCTCATTTTCTCATATGATTGCACTTCTATTGGTGTCTTCCGCTCATTCACCTCCTTTTCTTGTGATTGCTGTAACTGTGGTTTTACTTTTGCTTCTTTTTCTGCTTTTCTTGGTTCTGCAGCTTCCTGCATTTCTTTAGGCGCTTTCAAAGTCAGCTCCTCTGTTATCTGTTTATAAAGATCTAGTGATAATTCTTTTGACTTCAGTGACTCTCTTGCTCTGAATGGCTCTTCATCTGGACCCTTTAGTCGGCGATCTTCATCATCCTTGAATCCATGAAGCAGCTGCTCTAGTTCTCTGTGTTCCTGCTCTTGTTTTTGCATTGCTTCCTCTTTTTCTTGTGATTTTGTTGGCCGTTTGGCTTTCATTACTTGATCTGTTATCTCTAATTGAGATTTTCCATCCTTTTGATGAGGCTCGATTGGCTCTTCCTTAATTTCAATTGATGCTCGTCTCTCTATTTCAGAGTCCGTTAGTTGGGGCGCTGCATCCTTGGTTCCTTCAATCTCTATTTCTGATTTTCTTCTATCTGGCCCCTCTTCATAGCTCTCCTTTGGTCGTAATTCCATTCGTCCATCTTCTGATTCAATCTGTTCTGCTTCTAGCACTTCATCAGCTGTCTTCACTTTTGGTTTCTCACGTTTTATCTCTCTGTTCTCTTCTATTTTTATGTCTTCGTATTCCTTTCTTGATTCAATCAGCTCAGTTTCCAGCACCTGATAAGGTCCCTCCACACCTGCTGCTCCTGGTTGCAGCTGTTCAGCCGGCGAGGGTTGCATTGAATCTCTTGCCATCTCCTTTAACTTCTCCTTTCCTTTATACGGCCTCATCAGCTTAGACTTTCCATTCTTCTCTTCATGTGTTGGTACTTGTGTTTCTACTCGTTGTTCCTCTTGAATCAGATGCTCTGCTGTTTCTTCTTCTCTTATCCACGAGCACTCATTCATTAACAATTTAGGAATCGAAATGAATAGGATTTTCTCTTCTTCATCAAACGATGCATCGATACCATCCCAATCCACACTTTCAGGAACAGGAAATGACTCGTCGAAACTTTCAATTGAGACCTCTCGAGTTATGGCTACTCTTCTGGTGATTACAGCCTGTTGGCAAGCAATGCGACCTCCTCCTCTGATGCTAATCTGCTTTTCTTCCTCGTTTGCAGCTACGTCAATCTCATCTTTGCTGAAACCTGCAAGTTCTTCAAATTTTCAAAAATCTGATTGAAATTGCAGCGAATAAGTGAGAGAAGTATATGTTTCTGGTGACCTGGTAGGTGGGCAGCGAGAATGAAGACAGCCTCGGTTTCAGTTGAAGCGAAGGTGAGATCTCCTTGTTCTCTGGTTAGTCTGACTCCTACTTCCAGCTCCATGTCTAATGATTCTCGCTATCTTTCTAGATCTTCTGTATGTTTTTATCTCTTGTTGCTATTTTTTGAACAGTTGGCCTTTGACTCTTGAGAAGAACGGATACTTTACTTCCAATTTTGGGTAGTAGAGATGCCGAAGGTGAGTGGAAAAAAGTGGCTTTGCGTGTATAAGTTTAATTGAGTATATTTTTAATTGGCTGCTTTTTTTTGTTCTTGTTTTTATTTAGGGGAATTTACATACCAAACACACAATTCATATGCATGAAAATGTTTGATAATAGGACTATCTATAATGTGATATTCAAGATTTGAGTGTTATAGGAGTAAATATGATAGTTTAGGTGTGGGACATGTAAATACATGATACTTATGTGCTATTTATGTAAATAGACCCTTTTAAATTATAGGGACTTGAGGCTTACCCTACCCTATTAGGAAAAATATTACATGTATTATAGTAATTTATTTTGCTGCATTTGTAGTAATAAAACATATATATTAATAAGCCTACCAAAATAGCTTTAACTACATAATAATTAATAACTGCGTAATTAAATGCCTTTCAGGATGATTCGGTCTTAACGACTAACAAAAAAAAGTTAATTTTACTTGCCATTTTTTCTTATCATGTAAATTTTAATTAATTAAGTTCAATCTTAGTTTTTTGATCTGATTAAGACCGTAGGATGGATAGAGCTGCAAATGAACCAAGCCAAGTCGGGCAAGACTATGTTTAAGCTTCAGCTTGTTTATAAAATTCGAGCTTGAGCTCAAATTTAGTTTTTGGGGCGGCGTTCGAGCTTGAACTTGTTTAAAAAATCTGAACCCGAGCTTTAATCGAGCTGTGTTTATGTTCACATTGAGTTCTTGTTTGAGTTTGGTTCTCCTTTATTTCATATGATGGTAATCGATTCATTTCAAACCAATTAACGAGTAAATTATCAATCTATTTAATTTATATTCAAACAATCTTTATTGGGCAAATTAAAAGAATGTGTTATTGTGGTATTTGTTCTTCTATCAAATAAAATAATTAATATTGTTAAGTTATTTATTTTCTAATTAAACGAATTTTATTGAATATATAAATGAGTTATGTATTAAATTTATAAAAATAAATCTGCTTTAAGTGAACAAGCTATTAAATACACAATTAAAATAAACTCATAAATGCATAAATTATATGAATAATTACAAATTAAAAGTGCCTTTAATTTTGTCTAATTTTTAAATAAAATAAATGAGTGGCCTAGGAGTCAACATTTGGGCAAAACAAATGTTTGTAAAAGTGGATGGTAATCGTCATAACATTTCATGGTAACTTCTTGGTTAGTACAAAGTGGTTGACAGCTAAACAAACTTGATTATCAGTGACATACCAAGATTTGGTTTCCTTTTCACTTGCAGAAAAAAAATGAGTCATTTTTAAAATTAAAATTATTTTGGATGCGCATTAAACGAAATTAAAAGATTTAAGATCCATCCCATGTAAATGGAGGAATTATTGCGTGCGAACACCACATGTATCTCTGCATGCGGTGTCCGATCCTGGCCGTAGATCACGGTGATCTACGGTCAGGAATTTTTGTTTTTTTTTTTAAAAAAATTTAGGTGAGGCTCACCGAAATACATCGGGATCTTAGATCAGGTGATTTACGGTCCGGATCGGACACCGAACGCAAGCTCCGATCCGTATGGAATAATTTTTCATGTAAATGACCTGCATATCCATGGTTGAACTGGCTTAATAAAATAGGCTCAATTTAACAAAATACAAACTATTGAGTATGTACATACATACCGCACGATTCTTATGCATTTATATATCTAACAGCCTAAACTTCAATATTTACATGCATGTCACTCAAATCTTTAATATCACATCAAAAATATCACTCTCACCAACTGTTAAAATGTTAAATATATATTTCGTACAGAGGGCTGTAAACAAGCCGAGCTTGAGCGAGCTCAGGCTTGACTTTTGTTCGACTCGTTTGAAATAACTCGTTTTCAAAATTGGCTCGTGTTCGAAATTGGCTCGTGAACAGTGTGTTCGTGTTCGGCTCGAAATTGACTCGTAAAAATTAATTTAAAAAATAGATGTAAAGTGAACCAAATGTATACAAAAAAAAGTACTAACCACATTGCCACACAATGTGTTATGATTTAAACTTATATATAAATGTATATAATATATTATTATATAAATAATATATGTAATATATTATTATATAAATATTTTTATAAATATTTTTTTTTTATTTCGAGCTAAAACTAGCCGAACACAAGTGATCAAAGAGCTGTTTGTGTTCGGCTCGTTTATTTAACGAACAAGCCGAACTTGTTCTTGGTCGATAACGAGCCGAACACGATATGTTCGCGAACAACGACCTTTTTCGACAGCCCTATTCGTACATAGATTTACACAAGTATTATGAATATAAATATGAAATTTTAGGTGTTAGATATGTAATTAAATTAGAATGTTGTGGTATCTAAATTTTTCAAATATTTATGTGCACGGTTTAAAATAGCCAAGAATATCCATTTTATGCAGGAAAATCTAAAAACCAATGGCTTTCAGCTTGCAGGCCCTGTATGCAATAAAAAACTTAGTTCATTTATCAACCTGTAATTCTAAATTTAAGAATATCCTGGCATATGCCAAACATTGGTTGATAAGAATAAAAATTTGAGCAGCAGCATCATGAAGTGATGTTGCCGGCTTGGCATGTAGTGTAGCCCTCGGGCACCCTCGAATATTCTTTATAAAGTAGAACAATAAGTGTCTTGGTCAAAGCAATAATTTTCTTATAAGCGCTCAAACATGAGACTGATTTATTGAGAATCTTTGCATTCTTATGGTTCATAGCCCCTGTCTTCTCCCCTCTCTTGAGGTTAAGGTCTCACTGGCTTGGGCGCATGAAAACGAGGCCTGAGTGTGGACGTTTGTGCTCAAGCATGATAATCACATTTCTTTTGAATTTTTTTATAAGCAAAGTAGTAATTTTGCATTTTCCATGATTGCTTTGCATGAATACTATACTCTGACTAATAAAGAGATAAAAAGAATTATACATGTTTTTTTTTTTTTAGTTTTGTAAATTAAAATATGTAGTATGCTTGTTTTACTTATGGGATAAAATCTGAAGTTGTGATTTGTATTATATTCCAAACTATGTATAATCCATTGCAGCAATTTGTTTAATTTTAATGTGTAAAATTTGTGTGCTTTTTTACTTCGAAGTGTAATGTAGAAATGATTTTAAAAATTTTGGTATTTAGTTGGAAGAAAAACAAATGAGGAGTTGAACATTCGAAAGTGCCAAAGTGTTTCAAGATCCCGTCTATGGAATCTTACCAACGACGGTCAGACTCTTTCAACCACATTGACTTCATTTGAATCCACTTGTTAAGTGTGAATGATGCTTTGAAGGGCTGGTTTTTTTCATGACTACGAAAGAGTTTGCACTCTGATGGTTCAATAAGGACGGTCAGACTCTTTCAACCACATTGCCTTCATTTGAATCCACTTGTTAAGGGTGAATGATGCTTTGAAGTGTTGATTTTTTTCATGACTACGAAAGAGTTTGCACTCTGATGGTTCAATAACTTAATATTGGGAGCAGTAACTTCTTTTGCATATTTCAAGAGGTTGCTCATAGTATAGTTTTCTAGTGCTCAGAAACCTCACAAAAATTCACAAGCATTGTGGCGACTTTGCTAGAAGCTTGGAGAAACTCTTTGTGTTTTTGTAAACCATTTTTAGGAAGATATGCTAGAAGTACAAGATTTAGAACCTGCATTTGCCCATGTTGCCAAAGCTCAAGGGTTAAAGAAAGGATCGTTTTGTTATGCACTTAACCTATAGCATCCAAAGACATTAACCAAGTTGATAGAATTGACTAACAATTACATATAAATGGAAGAGTATAACACGACATAATCTCCTCTGAACTAAACATGCAAAGAGACACCCCCTAAACAGAAACTTTCATAAGGCAACAAGATCAAACTTTGAAAAACATTGATCTCACCAGTTTCATGAGAAGTTCCAAACACAAAGAGTAAACTTTGCTTGAGAGAAAGGCAAAATTAGTTCAGGAGATGCAAAAAGATCACCTTTTATAAAGGAGTTCTCCACCCCAAATTGATCAAATACCACAACAAAACTCCTTTAGAGCCTTGATGACTAGGACTGTCAAAACGGCTCGTTGTTCGCGAACA